AGCATCCATTATTAAATCTACTTAAGTAAAGTACAGATACAAGAAAATTGTACTTAAGTACAGTAACGAAGTACTTGCAACTTTCATAGTAAAAGTTAAGAAATTTTCAAAAGTGCGGCGCACAAAAATATTCTGGACCCTCGTATATAAAGCGTGCGTACGCACAAAATACATGCAGCACCATATTTTCGGCATGTATATAAAAATGAATGTGGCGCGAAAGTTTGCATAAATATATGCTAACTTTTACTATCCTGTGAAAATGCGTGGGAGTCACACAAACCTTTTCAGTGGATAATAAACATTAAAGCACCAAACCTGAGCAGTGATGGTGTTTGCTGTTGACAATAACCATGTCAACAGTCCCTGCTTTTTTGTTTTCATCTGTGGTGACCCCAAAACTCCATCGTTCAACTATTATGTAGAGTCATAATCAATCATTCATCACATTAAGGGAAATATTTAGAGTCTTTTGTTGGTAACGGCTCCCAAGTAATGAAAACTGACGTTTCAGTCAGAAATGTTTGGAGCTGCAGTCGATCATAAGGGACATGACCTCACTGAACGGTGTGTGAGGCTGGATTCTGACGGTCACAAACATCACACTCCTTGTTTGTGTCCTGTTGGCCAGAACGGAGAGATCGCCATGCTGGGAGAGATCACCCACCTCCAGGCAATCATCGACGACCTCACCGTGCTGACCACTGACCCCCACAAGCTCCCCCCTGCCAGTGAACAGGTGAACTGCAGCAACACCTGGTTGGTAGAAAATGCAGGAAGAGTGTGTGAAACGGACTGACAGTCGCTGCTTTCTTTCTCGCAGGTGATCAAGGATCTGAAGGGCTCCGATTATAGCTGGTCCTACCAGACCCCCCCATCGTCCCCGAGCAGCTCTGGCTCACGCAAGAGCAGCATGTGCAGGTGCAAATACACACATACGCACCCACGCACACACACACACGCGTACACGCAAGACATAAAAAACCAGTACGTAGCTGTATTTCAGTGCTGTGTTCAGAACTCTTGAGTTTTGGAAAGAGGAGCCTCCCTGGATGTCGGTGTCTCACTTGTACTGTCTGTCTATCAGAACATTGTTAGTGTTTGTGCCGCCATCTTTGTTAAACTCCAACATTCCCACAGATTAAGCTTGTAAAACAGCTCATGAAAAGGCAGATTAAAACACAAAAGTCCAATTTAACATCAGCTTTACTTGGATGTAAATAATGCAATGCCTTGCAAAAGTATTTATACGCCTTTGTGCCTCACCACAGACAGACTGCAGTTTATTTAACAGGGACATTATGTGACAGTCTAGTAGAACACCTTCATGTTTCTAAATGTCCACAGTTTTTAGATACGGACCAAATCTGAAAACGGTCAAGGCATATGAAAGCACTACATGTGGCCCACTTAGCAGAAACCGATGTCTGAGGATTTTGATTGTGAAAACAATCTCTCAGCCTGGGTGTGTGTGGGTGTGTGTGTGCGTGTGTATGTTACATCTAGGGCATCAGTCTGTTTATGTGGAAATCACACATTCACACCCTTCCACCTGTAGTGTTTCTTTATTCCCTGAATCTTCCTGAGTTCACACACTCTCTGTTTACCCCCTCCCCCTCCTCCTTTTCCTTCTCTGCACCCCACCACCCTCCTCTGTGCTCTCTTCCCATCTTCGCTTGTCTACCTTCTGTCTTGTACCCGGTTTGTGATTTGCCCTCTTTCACTGCTGCTGGACGCTTCACACCCGGTTCCCTTCATTTTCTGGGGAATCTGCTTCTAACTGTGACTGTTGTGTGACTTTACACCAACCCGACCAACTCACAAAAACTCCTGGACCCATTCCCATCAACCAATCGCAAACTCTCTCCTCGCCTCCTCCAATTCTTTGTTCACTCTCCCAAACTTTAACAAACAACTAATTTTACCTTCCACCACGTTCCTCTGATCATAACCGCTTTTGCATCTGGCATTGTAACACTCCTCACCCCTTCATCGCTCTGCCCCCCCTCTCCCTCCTCACCTCTCCCTGAACTCTCACCATGCAGCAGCGTCAACAGCGCCCACAGCAGCGCCTCCCGTTCGTCGGGGGGAGGTGCAGGTGTGGGTAGTGGTGGAGGAGGTTCCCAGCCACACTCACCCTCCTCCTCCTCCTCCTCCTATCGCCACCGCAGCAGCATGCCTCAACAGCCTCCACCACCAGGGGGCATTGCAGCCCACCGCCTCAGCAGTGTTTCCTCCCACGATTCGGGCTTCGTGTCCCAAGATGCAAACATCTATTCCAAGCCTCCCTCACCAATGCCCTCTGACATCACCAGTCAGGTATGAAATTCTGGTGCATTCACCAACGACAGCACACAGGAACAGTCTGAATTCAATATAATTTTGTTCAGATGCACATTTAAAAACTTAATACTCCCCATCAATAATTGTCCTTTAGTAAGTTGTAGAAAAAAATCACACTGCCATAATTCTGTTCTTGGAAGAATGAGGAATAGTCCATGCAGTTTCACTGGTGTTATGTTTCTGACATAAGAGTAACGTTAGCTTTCTTAGTTTTTTTAGCGTTAGCTTTATCTCTCTATTCCACAACCGGTTCTGAGTGTGGTTAAGAGTATTAGCTGCGTTTCCTTTACAAATGTGCGCAGAACTGCTAATGTCTTTTGTGTGAAAATTTACCTTGACTCCTACAGAGATGCTTCTTGTCAGTGTGACCAAAGGTTGTTATTCTGTGTGAGTCCCAAACCAACAGATTTGACTTTTTCTGGGAAGAAATGAGGTCAGACACAAAGCAGTGCTATGCTAGGACTTCGTTCATGGCTAGCAAGTTTTTCTGCAACTTGCTAATGGACAAGTATCCAAATATCAGAGTATTTATAAATACCCTGATATTTTGAATACTTGTATATCTATATATGTATATCTGTCCCCATATATATGCATGGATAAGAAATGTTAAAATAAATTCAAATTTAACCATTGAATTTGAAAGAACAAGAAGAATTTTAAAAAAATGATGGCACTGCAAGTTTTGAGAACTGATAAACTAGATAAGAAAATGTTTTTCTTTCTATTGTAGAAATCCTCCAGCTCTGCATCATCAGAGGCTTCAGAAACATGCCAGTCAGTCAGTGAATGCAGCTCCCCCACCACTGTAAGTATTGTAGCCATGCTGTGCAATGTGGCTGTTTTTCTTCTTTTTTAACATAACACATTGTTACACACAAACTAAATACACTTCTTTAGAAGTCGGGACAAATCTTCTGGGGTAAACTGTTTCAGATAGAGGAGCTTTACTTACCAAATTTGCTCTCAAAACATCTGTGTCATAGCATTAGCTTGTAGCATTAGCACAGCTGGCATGTGGCTTCCTTCTGGATTTCCTTTTTTTCCCTACCTGCCTCACAAGTGAAGTTCTTCCAAACAGTATTGAAATCGTTTGACAAACACCAGATATGCGAGTCTTGTGGGCTAATGTGGGTCGCTGTACTCGCTACATTAGCACAGTTTAAAATTCAAGGATAAGTGCTAAGTGTTAATGCAGCGCTGCTGTTGGGAGAGATGAGACGACTTGGGCAAATGTGACTGGATCCATTTGTATCGATTTTGACACAAATTAGTTTAATAATTATTTTTTTTCTAGTTTTTATTTGTTTATTTAAGCATTGACTCTACTATTCTACCTGAGGTCCACACCACAAACATTACAGTAAAATCTAACTTTTTAAACATATCTATATTGATTTTAACAAGAACATGTCCACTCATTTACAAATACATAAAATATAACCTCAGACAAAACAAAACAAAAAAGACACAGAGGAGCAGAGTGGGGGGGGGGGTTAGTCAGTGAACCCAGCAGACCCACCAACAGATCAATCAGGATAAAGATTGGCAGTTTGTCTTGTCACAAATCATCTTTCCACTTGTTGAGTTGGGTATCATTTTGGTCCGGCCACATGTAAAAGACAGTCCAGATTTAAAAAAGTTAATCAAGCTTGTTCAGGGTAAATACTTAATTTTCTCCAGGGCAAAGTAGGAAGTAATTTGTTTAATCCATTGTGAAATTCCTCATACTGTCTCTTTCTTCCATGAGGATGCAATGCAGCATTTAGCTTCCAAAAGGCAAATGTTATGTAGGAATCTTAAATTGTTTGAGATAAAGTCTTCAGGACAGATATTTATGATTCACATTTTAGAATTAAAATCACACTTACAAAAAAAAAAAACCATAATGAAATTCCTTAAAACACACAAACAAAATTAAAACAGTGAATTTCAGCAATTTGAAAGATTTAAAGCAAACAATAACAATCTTAACTTTGAGTATAATTTACCCATTTGCTCAATTATATCAAGTTATCAATTACTTTGACAAACCTAGAGATAAACCTAATGTATTTTAAAAGTGGTGGCTTTTGCTGTTACATTTTGTTGACCTTTCTGGGTCACCGTACCCTCGGGCTTTTCAGAAATCCACCGCATCACTGGCTGCTGTAAATAAACTTTGTCAGAGTTATCTGTTTCCTTTTCTCACCTAAAACATCTCCCCATTCAGTCACATCCGTGTTTTCAGGAGAACAAAGCCGGGTTGTCAGCGCTGAATCAACTGTGATAATTGTGGCTGTTCTGAAAGTTGCTGTTAGAGCCACGCAGCGCACGCTGTTAAAATGGCACGTTTCACTCACAGCGGTGGCAGGAAGCTCTCCGGTTTTATTGTTATGTGAAACCAGCTTGAGGCAGACTTCTGAAAGGGAACACAAACCTGACACTGACTTCCCCAGAGCTTAATGCTTTCTCCTGCAGAGATTTTATTTTAGAGTGGTAAGGGGAAAAAAGCCCCTCAGACGTAAGTGCTGGGTTGAAATGAATGTAATATCTGTTCACTTTTAAATGTCGCTGTTGTTTTGCTTCGCTTGGAATAAAACCACCTGTGCTAACAACTGATAATGAATTAGGTGTGTTTTGCACTTCAGCTGGTGATAAGGCCCCCATATAAATCCTCCTATAATGCGTTTTTGCAATTTCTTTCATGTTTTAGAGCCTCTTGATTTTTTTAAGCACATTATTTAAAGTGCAGTAGAAGAAAGTTGTGCTGATAATTTACTGGTGGAAAAGAAAAAAAGTCTAGGATTCAAAGCAAAAGCTTTCTTCACAACAGCTCGCCTTCATGACAGGTTTCCTCCATGATCCCGCTTTAATTCGACTGACAAACATGATTGTTTGCTCTCCTTCCTGGATATCGTGACAGAAACCGTGTAGCACACACTGTGGGAGTCGCAAAAACAATCATACAAACTTTGGATCTCTCTTTTTTTTTTTCTTTTACATCAGATGATGGGCTGCTCTTGTTTAAATGATGAGGGGATCTTTGACGGTGACATTCTCCATCTGGACATGTGTAGTTGTGCTTGATGAAATAAAATAAAAGAAAGAAATGTGACTCCTCATGTCTGGGAAATTCTCAGATCTCCTTCAACATTTCATCTTTCTGCATTTGCATCAAACAGCATCGGTTATTTGGTGCGAATGTGACAAATGATGGAGCCGAGTAAAGGCTTTAATCTGTGATGGTTTAATTTGATTAATCTAGCCTTTTCTAGCTTAAATAAATAAATCACAGAAACATTCACAGCAGAGGAACTCCTTCAACTTCAGCAGGCGAAAACTGACCTCAAGGACTGAAACGATTAATTGTGATGGAAGAGTTATTGAAATAATCTTCAACTATGATAATCGAACTGAACAATGGATTCAAAACATGCCATTTGATGAAAGAACACAGACATAACTGTACAAAACATAGCAGCATTTTGCATTTAGTGTTAATGTTTTTACATGTTTCTGTACCTTTGGATGTCTCCTGCCTGTAGAAACAGTCCAAGAGCAAAAAAAAAAAAAAACATCCAGTTGTTTTCTCAGGAATAAATGAATGTTCCGCTGGTGTCTGCAAATTGACCCGTTTCAAAAACCTCTAAATTGTCACGTCACAATTTTGTTACCTATTGTGTAAATTTTTCGACAGGCTTTACAGGAGCACATTGGTTGTTTAGACAGCCATCATGGCTGAGTGGGCGGGGTTTCTAAGAGAGTGACATCACATGCAAAGGGTCAATACAAATGCACGCCACGCAATTTTATTTTAGTTTTACAGTTATGCTGAAAACAAAGTTATAACAGTTGAACTGTTTAACACATCCCATCACCACCTAACACAGTCATGCCATGGGAAGCAGCTTTCTTCTACACGCTTTCTCCCTCAGCTAGGATCACCTCTGGTTATCTTTTCCCCTTCTCAGATTCAGGCTGGGTGTCTGTGACTGCGGCTTTACATTCTCATGTTCTCCACAGCTGGCTGCCTCGCCATGTCTGCCTGCCGCTTTTCCATTCTCTGGTGACATGACCGTGTCTTTCATCCCGCAGTTTGGCTCGTCCTTCGTTACCTTCCGCCCCGCTCTCTCTCACTCTGGCTCCACCAGGCCTCTCTCTGTCATTCTTCCCGTTCCTGCGTCCCCACCCTATATCCGCCCCTCTGGATCCAGCTCCTCCTCTCCCACATCAAAGGTTCCCATGTGGAAGGTTTGTTGCCCATGCACTTGCCCTTGTTTTTTTTTTGGTTTTCCCCCAGTTCCACCTTTTCCCTCCGTTCCAGATGGATATGTTCTGCAGGGTTCAGATTACTTTATTATTTTCCTCACCTGGTTTGTTTTTCACTCATTGCTTTGCTTCTCTAAAAACATTCATCACGGGCTGCTGTGTGTGCATGCAAGCTTCTTTTATTTATTTTTTTTATTTTTTTATTTACCCTTACCTGCCTCCCTGGTTGTGTGACATACCTACTGATGACTCGGCAAAAAAACAAAAAAAACAAAACAAGCTGTCTTCATATGACCTTTAAAAGCTCCAAAACACACACACGCACACACCAAGACTCGGCCATGTTCTCTGCATTCAGGCAAGCGTATCAAAATGCTGGGTAGCAGACAGGTCTCTTTTGGTACTGTAACTCTGCCGTCTGCCTGCTGTTTACTAATTCCCCTCAACTGTTCAGGACTGGTCCAAAGCAGGTCAGTACGAGCAGCCCGCGGCCGCCGCTCCGGTCCAGAGGAGAAAGGAGCCAGTGGATAGGCTGAGAGAGAGCGAGGGCTCGCCGGGTTCCCATGGATACGCCGCAGCGTCACACCCAGAAGAGGGCCAGAGGCCGCGGATGACACCTGCTGGCATCGCTGCCAAGGTAACCCTGGACGACATGGAGCCAAACGACTCAAAATATAAATTCTTTTTAGGATGTAATAATTAAAAAAAAAATTATGCAACTTTATTGTTGTCTAAATGCATTGTAAGCATGCAGTCTGATCAGTTTTTTGAAGCTAAAATGAACCAAGAGAAGCCGCTTCGTTGTCCAACGCTGTTGTTTGTGGATATAGCTTTTGCGATGAATTCATGAGCGTACCAGAAATGCAAGAGTACAAAGGTTCCTGACAGAAAAAAACATGCTTGATACTGGAAAAACATTAATGTATTAAAATCTATGTAATTAATTAATCAAAATTAGCACGTTATGGTTCTGATCTTAGTGTAAATAGTTTTAAAATAAAGGAAGTGACTGAGCTTCATTTACAGCTTACACACCCACAATATCAAAACCGTTCATAGGAATGATTGTCTCATTTGTCTTTATATCATTTTTGCAAGTCTCAATGTATTCAAATAGAACTTTACAAACAAATCCTGCACACCAACAGCATATTATTTTGAAGGAAAATAAATGATGAAATCAGTTGGAATAAAAAGAATACATTAAAAGTAGTGACATCCGTCAATAAAACACAATAAAAATGCAACAATGAAATAAAATTGTCAAGTTCCACTCAAATTCTTTCATTCTCTTATTACATTGTCCACATCCCCACAGTGTTAAAGGCTCAGGTTGCACCAAAGCATCCATAACGTATCGATAAAAACATGGCAGCCCTAATTTTCCTGTGTGTCATCATCAGCACGGCGAGGAGGTTTCCCCGGCAGCCAGTGACCTGGCCATGGTGCTGACCCGGGGCCTGAGCGTGGAGCAGCAGAAGAGCAGCCGGGACTCCCTGCAGTACTCCAGCGGCTACAGCACGGAGACCACAACCCCGTCCTGCTCCGAGGACACCATCCCTTCACAAGGTGAGCCTCTCGTCTGCTGCAGCGTTCAGACCGGTCAACAGTCTTAACTATTCTGTGGATGTTATCAAGAAATGCTGAGCTGTTTTTTTTTGTTGTTGTTTAAATGTATTTTATGGAGTAACTTTCACTTGAATCCCTCGCCTCTGTTACAAACAATAGATAAATTGAATTATTCATTTAATAGTCCAGGCAGTGGGCATATTTCTTGACTGATGGATCCTGACGGTTCGCTTGACGGCAACTAAGAAACAAATGCAGTGAGATAAAACTGAATAGTATTCCCATATGGTTTTGTTTTAACGGCTCCCTCTGTGTGATTCAGAATTTTTACTCCAGTATATTTTTTTGTTTCGCATCTTTGTGTGTAGTGGATCTCAAAGGCATGAGTTGGCCTTGGATGTTTTATTTATTTAAAACATTTTTTTTTACATTTTTCATTTTTAAACTAAAAGTTCAATAGTTTTAATAAGCATAAATCTGAAAAATGTGATATGTATTTGGAGTAATGGTGCCCCTCTTTTAACCAATATCCCTAAAAAAAAAAAAAAATCAATAAAAGCAATTGCCATATGAAGTCACCTGAATGGTGGATTCTACCTGTGTTTAAATTATTCTCAGTATTAATACAACCCTGCACTAATCTTGAAAAATTGAAAAACTGGGCTGGGATCACAGGTGGTTAAAACTGATGGATTTTTTTTTTTTTTTTTAATTTTGAAAAATTATTACAAACAAATTAAAAGCTTCTTATATTAAAAAACATTCATCTTTTTAATCCCATACTAAGCAGAAATCTATTGACTCACTTTTACTCAAAAGCAGACTTTGGTGTATCCAGATTTTCTTTTTAACTAAATACACCAAGTATGACCCAAAAAGTGACGCAAGTTCTTCCAGCTGAAACCCTTTTTTCTTCTTCTTTAAGCGTTTTTTGCTCCATGTGACAAAATGATAAAGACCTTGAAGATATAGGAAGATGTACAATGGATTCCAGCCAATTAACTGCTAGATTCAAATCTGAGACTAAATTTTTGTGACTAGATGATGTTCATTCAATCTGGACTGAGTTTGGGAACAACGTGCCGAAATAAAACTAAGACTTTCTGCTATAATTGTGATTGTTTCACTGACTCAAAGGGGCTGAAGACAAACGTAATATTTTATTAGATTTTTATTTATAAAAGCGTTAAAAAGTTAGCATCAATGTCCTTCTGCTTCACCTTCATTGTTATGCACTAGTTTGTGTTTGTTTACATAAAATGTCAAGAACAACAGAAATACATGGCTGTAGAAGGATAAAATGTAGAAAAGTTTTAAGGGGCAGTATTATGTAAAATCAATGTTATAATGTTTCATGTACATCAAGTTATATTGTTATTTCCTCATCAAAAACATGTCTGGAGCGTTACCTTGATTCTTTCATGCTTGTTTGGGAAATCCTTTAATCTCCATGGCAACCATTCAACTTTGCAAAACACCTGGGTGGACCAAGCTCTGCCTTCGAGGACAAAGCTCCTCCTCAGAGCTGCAGTTTTCAAACTTCAGCCTCACAGAGCATCCCTTCCCTGGGTCTCCCCCACTCAGCTCCTTCAGACTAGCCAGCAGCAATTAGCAAACTGCACATCTGCTGAGCTCATTATCGGAGCTACTTCTCAGTGAAATGCTAGTAAAAAAAAAATAATGTTAAAGAATTAATAGAGGAGCCATGATGTTATGACTTCCTGAAGGCAGAATTTCAGAAAGAGCAGGAGCTTTTAAAGAAACAGAGGCCCAATTTCAAGGTGTTAAATTACAAAGTAAAATTTCTTCTATCAAATTTGAAACTTAACGTGTCACGGGTCTGGAGGAGCACCAATTGCGGGGGACCAGAGATACTGAATAACCTAAAATTTCACAATTTTCTTTCTGTCTCACCCGTACCAATAACAGGTTCAGATTACGACTGCTACTCTGTAAATGGAGACACCGAAGGCCCGGATGGACAGGCAGAGTTTGACAAGTCTTCTACAATTCCTCGCCATTCCAACATTGCCCAGAACTACAGGCGCATGATACAGACCAAAAGGCCAGCCAGTACAGCTGGTCTGCCCAGTGGGGTCCTTGGTCCAGGAGTTCATGGGATACCAGGACAGCCAGGTGGAGCTGGTGGAGGAGGAGGATCAGGGACTCCAGGCACCGCTACTATCCGTCGAACCCCATCAACCAAACCGGGGGTGCGGCGTACACTGTCCAGTGCGGGGCCCATCCCTATCCGACCTCCCATTGTGCCTGTCAAAACACCCACTGTTCCCGCAGACTCACACTCACCTGGTGCAGGTGGCTATGCGGGGGGAGGGCAAGCAGGCGGCGTCCCCGTCAGAGTGGGAAGTGAAGAGTGTGTGTTCTTCACCGGAGCCGAGGACGGCCAAGGAGGGCTCGATTATGTGAAGGCATCACCGAAGCGCCTCAGCCTGCCCAACACCGCCTGGGGCTCTGGGGCAGCGCTGGAGGTCTACGCCCAGCAGCACTGCATGGCGTCGGGTTCAGCAGCCGGATCAGAGGAGGAGCAGATGATCGCGGCCAACCGGCACAGTTTGGTGGAGAAGATCGGCGAGTTGGTAGCGAGCGCGCACGCCCTTGGTGAGGGTCAGTTCCCTTTCCCCGCTCTCCCAGATGACCCGACCCCAATGCCAGGTGGCCTGAGCGAAACTCAGACGGAAGGGGCTGAGGGGTCCGGCGACATGCTGACCACGATCAGGAGAGGAGTTCGCCTTCGCAAAACGGTCTCCAACGATCGCTCGGCTCCCCGTATATTGTGATCAGCAGAGAAATGCGAAGGGTTGTCAGTCGATAGGTCAAATGTTGGTGTGGTAGTACCCAACCACCTAGTGAGTACACGAAAACATAACCATGTTGGAAAAGCTATATCATAACAGAGGATGAATAAAGTCGAAAAAAAATCCATGCAGAAAATGTTAAGACACCTTTAGAGTAAATGATATACAGTCTAATATAACGATAACATAAGTAATCATAACCGATGCTGACGAGTACAAGTGAAATACTTCATGTTGACCTAGCAGGCCGCTATAACTATTGTGTGTTGGACGCATGTTTGTCTTCTATACACCGTCAGACAGGGACGGAGTGACTCATAGGAAAAGTGATTTTGAAAATAAATGGAGGCAAAGAAAGAAGAGCGCTGGGTTCTGTTCTGTTTACCACCGAACCCGTCTCCCTGTCCTGTTGTCCGACTAACCCAGCTGACCGATCCAACTTTAAAGACAGACTGAAGGGGGCTGATGAGAACCAGAGAGAGACAGAGAGGTGGGGTACTCAGATCGCCTTGTGACCGGCTTCAACTGAAGCCAGGTCGTCTTGGCAACGACGTGCTGTGCCGAAAAGGCCATCGAACTGCTTGGCAAGAGTACGGGGAGCTAACAAACCAGAGGGCCACTCTGGTTCACGATGATGTAAAAAAAAAAAAAAAAAAAACGTTGGCATTGAGCCGTACTTGTTGCCCTTCCCCTCTCTCTCTCTTTCTGCGTACATTCGTATGCTTCTCGGAAAATGTAAAAATGGAGCGTGTGGGTATATGTGGTTGATTATGTGTGTGTGTGCGTGTGTGAGAGAGGGGGTGGGTAGAGCTCTGCTGCGGGACAGCCGGTTACCCAACGAGGGCAGGGCTTTTTTCTTTTCTTTTTTTCTTTTTCTCCTGTGTCGTGTGCGTATTTTCTCGTTTATATCGTGACGTCGTTTACCTTGTTACCACTGTACGGGGAGTTCCGAGACCTATTCCAGGCCTATAGATATATTCATATATATTTTCTAGAAGCAGAGAGAAAAAAAAAAAAAAAAAAAAAGTGAAATCAGAAATGGAGCAATAAATGTGTTTTATTTTCTTGTTTCGAGGAAGCGATTGGATTTGGAGGATTGCAGATTCTCCTTTGTCCCATTCAGGCAATCATCAGGAATGCTAAATTACACATCGACTGTGAATTCATGCGTTTTTCATGCGCCTCTCTCTCTTTCTCTCTCTCTCTGTCCCAGTTTCTTTCTATTAAATGAAGTGGATTACAAAAAATTTGAAAAAATAAAAACTGTAAGCACTTTGATGAGAGTAGAGTCTGTACAATAGCCAGTAGATGTTGCTGTAGTCATGCTGTATGTGTGGAGGAGTGATGGAGTGGTAAGAGGAGTGAAAGCAATGACTGTGTCCTAAGGAGATGATTTAATACATTAAAGTAGAAGAAGGCAGAGAGAGGTAAAGAGGATGTGAAGAGGACTGCTAGCACTGGAGTGATTGGTTAAATGAGAAAATGTATGAATATTTTCTTAAGACGGATCAGGTTTTAAGGCGGGAGGCGGGATGGGAATGACATTGAAGAGTTTGCCTGAACGTGTATTTTAAGGATCGAAGACATACTGTGGGAAAAAGTACAATGTTTTGCTGAGTGAGATGATTTTTTTTCTTGGAAATATGTTTCTAGGCCTAAAACATCCAGATGAGATTTTTTTTAAATCAGTTTAGTTTTTTTTGTCTTTTACCTTAAAACTAGATGTAAATCTTTTAAAATGGAAAAATACCTTTCGAAACTGTAAAGCACATCGAGTGGAACAATTAAAGCACCATCTCAGGAAAGGCACATCACTTTATGTTTTTTCATTTGAGTGCAAGTAAAAAAGAAACAGCCAAACTTGATTGTAATTGGGTGGAAATAAAACCTGGAAAAAGCTAAACATTCAAAATTCAGTTGATCTCATGATATTGACACCATAGAGAAGCTGCAGGACCTGATCTCCAGAATGCTGAAGGTTTTCCATGAGCTCATAAACACAACACAAAAATATCAGCTCATTTGTGGGAAACTGTATATATATTTTTTAATAGTGAATGAAACACTTAAGCTTTCAACCAGCCCTATCTTAAAACAGAACCTGGTTCCTCAATGCTAAACACTGCAGTGTAATTACACAATAACTCTTAAAAATGTCGTACTTCTGTCTGAAGTAAGGACGAACCTCTAATTATTCACACCCTTGGCAGATTCAGACTTCACATTAGTTTCATTTAACCAAAGAGTTTGTTTCTGATAGAAAGTTAGACAGAAATGTCTCAAAAGATAACAGTTTTGTATAATTAAATATATTTACATTTATTAAAAAAAAGTGATATGATTACCATGTAGAAAGATATTCAACATGGACACTGTTATAGACACAAATGCATCAAATGTCTATGGCATTAGAGCTCTCTTCTAAACATATTAGCCATAGTGTTATTTGTTAGTTGGTACTTTGGGACAGGTATATCACCAAATTAAATGGAAAAGCAATCTTTTAAAATTAACTTTTGTTCTCACTGGAAGTAATATTAACATTTTATTGTGGCCCTGCCAGAGTTCCAACTTGAATCTGATATATATTCTGTGGAGGGAGCAAAAGATTAGGGTGATGGTCAAGAGGCCTTCCAATATCAAGCACTTGAATCTCATTTCCAAGGATAAATTGTTAATGTACAATTGGAAGCGTGAAGAAAGCTGGTCAGCAGTCATAAAAATGGTTGGACTTCTGTAATGTTTTTTTTTTCCCCCACTGGCAATAAGAGTATGAATATTTTTTACTATGTCATTTTTCAATAAAATATATAAAAATAGATTAGATATTCAAAAATGATACTTCTTTCACATTGTTTTATCTTTTCAGACACCTGTAAACAGTGGTGGGTACACTTACGCTAATGCGCTAATAACAACAATTGTTTTTTTGTTTAGCACTTCAGCTAACTTTGAAAACATTTATCGCATTTAGTTTCCCCTAAGCTGTTTTTTAAAATTAAATTGGTGCTCCAGGGTTGTAGTCTGTCAAAGACTGATGTCATTTGAATTGAAGTTAGCACGTTAGCATTAGCCTCTGCTACTGTGTTGGTGTAGTGAGTGCTGTAGTCTTAGCAGAACTACAGGTTATGATTAGCGCTTAGGGTTAGTGCTCCTAGCTTTTTAGATAGCCATGCTCACAACTGCCTGCTAAATTTCCTATCAGAAGAAAACTTTTGATTAAATGAAAAAAAAAAAAAAGATCTAAATTAAACAGGGGTGTGAATACTTTCGGGGTTCACTGTAAAGAATGAGCCTTTTATCAAAGCTAAAGTACTGAAAAACTGTTTACTTTGCTATAATTAAGAGTGTAAGAAAGATGGCCAAAATATTTTCCAGATGAGATATGAGAAAGCGTTCGCATTGAGATACTCGCTTATAAATTCTCAGTGCTCAATGAAAAAGAAAAAACGTAAAGAAAGAAAAAGCAGACAAACAAGGCACCCAGCACAGATCAACTTAGTTTTGTGCCAATCCTTAGGTTAAACTCAGGACAAAACATTATGAAAGGTTGATCTTTTAGATTTGAGAATAGGTAGAGCCTGTTTGGGAGGATATGGACGAGTCTTTTAAAGTCGACAGGAAGAGGGAAAGATGTGTGGAATGAGCATTTCACTGCCTGTTCATACGATACGTATGTAACTGTATGTGCTATGAATCCGGAGCACAGATCTGGTGTAAAGGGTTGTTAGAAAATATCTCATTAGTTTACTTTAAAAAAGAAATTTTTTTGCCTTCTACTATTACTGTTGGAATACTAGATCTTGCTTTAATTATTGTAAAAATAAGAGGAGAAAAGTCCAGTTGTAATACAAACTAACTAAGCTGTGTGACATATGGATGTAAGGCGCAGAGACTGAGTGTGTGTTTGGACGTGTCCTTGGCTGACTGTCGATCTCTAGGCTAATAAACTTTTCATCACCATGTCTGTACACATCTCCAGCAGTGATCTGGACATGAGCATTAATATGAGCACTCATTTATTTTTTTATCCTAAGCATTCATTAGGTTCCTTTTTATTTTGGAAATGAAAATAATGCTTCCAGAAGGTTTGTTTTCCCCTATTGCTTTTATTTTAATGTCTTTGTCACAGTATGGCTGTTTTTAACCCACTTTGCTGCTGTGAGGCGACTAAGTGAGAGAATAAAGGCAAGAGCAGATTAATTCCATTACTATGAAATGTTTCTTTTTAGGCAAAATTATGATTTTTTAAAATGTTTTTAGATTATCTGTCGCTACACATCTACATGCTTATGATGGATGTACTACAGCGATAAAAGGCCACATCAGTCCCTGAGCTTCAGAGTTAAACTTCAACAAGTACCCAGTGGAAATCAGAGGCCAGCAATTTAAGTTCATTCTGCCTGAATTTCCATTTACAATGGTGTTTCACTGTGGGTTTGATCCATTAAAACACCACTTTTCTTCTCTCTGTATAATTATCATTACCCTCTTAAAGTTCTTCCACAGTGTATAGCTTTGATTTGAACATTTCTTAAAGCTCCTGCAGGATCTGCTAAATGTTTCCACCTGTTGTTCTTTGAAGGGTTATTTTTAAAACCATTTGGGGAGTAAAGAATCTACATTAAAAAAATAAAGTGTTACATAATTTGATATACGAACTTACAAATAACTCATTCGCAAAACTGTTTAGTTTTTTGTTATTTCTCTTAAGGATCTGGTTTAACAACAGGAGCTCTCACCTTTTCCCTGAAATACTAAATGAGGCGAGGTGATCTAATTTTAAAGCTGTTCTTTTTTTCCACCTAATTAGACAAATTAGTCCTTTAAATAATCTGAAGAATAAAATTTAAAGTAGAGCTGAGTGCACACAGCCTGGATTCATTAGGCAGAATAGTAGTTTCAGAAAACATGAAGACAAAATGAACATTCAGTGGACTAGTGGGACGGTGTAAGCTAACCTAACTTCATGCAGCTTCGCCACATCTGGGACAACGGGGAGGTTCCAGCTCGGCCCGCTTCCATTATTAGACCGGAAATGTAACATTATTATTTTCCTGATCCAATCAGTTTAAAAAAAATTGGAGCAGGGGATTACCAACTACTGGCTGAAGATTTCTTGACCTGCGAAAGCTTGTTTGGGGACTTCACTGGCATTGTCTTTCCCTTGTGGCTAATTTATCCCTTTTTCTCCCCCGCCCCATCAGATTTTGCTTGCAGGCCGACTTAATCTGTCACTTACTCTCTAGTGTTTTTTTTTTTTTTTTTTTTGAATTATCCAAAATGCTGTCAGGAATTATTTAAAAGTAGTGTAGTGCTTATATAACTAAGTGGGCTGGTCAACCCAACCAGCAATGTTTTTTTTCCCACTTTGTCAAACACAATGTAGCTCAAGAACTACTTCCTCCATTGCTTCAAATTAAAAGTCTCAAACAGAATAGAACACTCTCTTTACATAATAATAAAATAAACCTATTTATCCAGATGTGGTTTACTGGATAATATTTACACAGCCAGACTTTGATGACAGACATGTTGGTTTAATATCACAGGCTCTTATTCCACAAGATCTCATTACACCCCTACCAGTTAAGGGAATCCAAGGAAATCTGTGATGGATTATTTTGTGCTGAACTGCCCATGTCAACATGCTGAATCGATTTTTGCTCCAGTTTTGTCATTTTCTGAGTCGCTATGTAAATAACAGCAAGCCAACCAGAAGTCGGGCAAAGCTGCAGCGTGTTTGTACATAGGAAGGAACATAAAGAAATACTGCATGCTCCCACATGGCCTCATACACTCAGCATACACTCTCAAATTGCTCTTAGCACTCTTTGGCAAGCTAAAGCAGGCAGATGTGTTTCTTTACCGCCATGTTGAGGCCTTTCATCCTGTAACCTCTCATTTCCTGAGCCCTCGTCTCCATCCGTACTTCGGTGCACCCTGAGATGCAGTGCAGCAGACAAGCTAAAAACAAAACGAAACAGTGCTTGTCATGGTGGATGACGGGAGACCCAAAACACCGTAGTTGGTCTCTCTGCGCCTCTCAGTCTATTAAAGCTAATGAAAAATAATTCTGATGAAGTCTTAATTTCCACTTACGTCCACTGCGGATATTCGCTCTGTGCTCAGTTTATTTTCCCCTCCTCATTCATTCCTCGCCCAATCCCCTCTATGTCTATTAACTTCCTGTTGGTTTGCATGTGTGCATAGGTGCAAACGGTGGGCCTGTGCTGCAGTGGCTAACGCGTCCTGGGTGGGCTGTTGTTTGAGTTGGAATTGCTAACGGGGGTAAACGTCTCCCTGGTGGATGTGCTAATGGGAGCCGTTTTCCAGGCAAGCAGATGGACGCCTAACGCTCCATCTCTATGCTAGATTACATTTTAATTAATTTTGATCAGGCTTTTTGAGATGTTTCTTGGCAGCAGCTCAAAAGCAACTTAATATGATTTCTTATTGTTTTTTTTCCGGTGAGCTTCCGTGCTAAAAAAAAGAAAACAACTCAAAAGTGCAAGCAGCAACGCATGCTGCTAAACTCTGAGAAGCCTCAACCTGAACATGCATTAAAATATCTATTTTTGACAGATAATTTGTCATTTTAATTAATTAAATTACATTTTACAATCACTGGGAGAACCACCACCGGTTTTACTTTACTTCACATGTTGGCATGGAAATGTTAAATCGATCTCCAACCAAATCCAGCACCAAAACATACTGCAGGACTTATAGTGAATTGTAAAATTTCATTGATCCTGGCCGCTGTAAATACCTGCAAATGAGAAAAACTGTCGCTCTCCTGAAACGTTTGAATAATGAAAGAAATTACTTTTATCTGCCTCGTCCACATGTTGAAAGAGAGAATGCTGCTTTAAGACCAAGTGACACCCAAAACGTAATTAAAAAAAAAAAAAACTGCTACTTTGATATACTATGATATAGTTAGGTTTGCCATGATCTCCTAGATGTGGTTCCTACCTAACAAGGGTAGAGTTGCCCCATAACCCAGAAACAATCAAATGTGGTCAGACATCTGATCTGATCTGATCTGATTTCTGGAGGAATTTTAAGTTATTTCTGAAATTTCAAAATTCTTCCTTTATGTCTGTCATTTAGCATATTTTCAGCCATGACTACTTCACAATAGTATTGTTTATTTAAATAAGAGAAAGTTATTGCTGTGAGGGTTTATTAACACACTGCAGAGCGCCTGGTCCTGTGGTGTTGCAGTTCCTCTTTCTACACTCCAACAGGCCTCTTGTTGTTCAGCTCTGATATTTCTGATTACACCCTGTGAACTTCATCCAGTGTTGTCCCTGTAGACCCTACTGAACTGAAGCAGATTGTATTAGATTTTTCTAGATTAAAGCAACAGTAGCTGAGATTTGTCATTATATTAACACTTTCCTCCATCTCCAGCCTCCCCCTCCCTCATGAAATCAGAGACTTTTAGGTTGCTGAAAGATTTCCGCTGTGAGGAACTCGGCTGCAAAAGATCTGGTGGAACAACATTTGTGTCTGATAATTTGTGCGTTTCATGAATACACAAACGTGTGGAAGTACATTTTGAAGCGACGCTGCTCATTACATGGCTAGTCCAAACGAAGACGTTACAGCGCTCGTCCAAAATCCCGCAAGGTCGCTTTGTGTTCCGAGTGAGACTAAAAGAAGCATCATGAAATTGTTGGACACTTCCTGCTTCTTAAGCCATCTGCCTAAGCTATATAAAATGCTGTATGCGTGTGTGTGTGAGAGAAAGAGTTTTCGTGCTCCACAAGGACACGTGGTTAAAACCCCTACTGTTCTTCCCTTCCACTTCCCACACACAATCTGTCAATCCTTCTTGAAGTCCCACATTCAACAAACCTAACGCACATCCACAGACACACACACACACACACACGCACACACCGCTAGACACTCATTTGAAGTGAACATGACAAAGGTAGATCCTCAGTGGCCACATAAGGGTTCACTGATGTCCTCTAGGGGGCTCATGATGTAACGCTCTGCAAGTTCCCATCAAACATCCACAACCAAGTAGCCAAATGGGCCTCCAGGTGCCACTGTCGCTGTAACTAAAGTGAATGTCTTACTGTCTTTACTCAACGTCTCAGTAGTCACTCTTGCTCTCTTGTTACTTCTTGAAAGATAAAAAGATCTGAACTCTCTAGAGAAATCTGTGCCCAAGACACCATGGAGACATTTTCTACGGGGGCTGCTTAGTTC